TTTTGGGGTTTAATTATATTTTTTATAATTCTGGATATACTTTCCTGAACTTTTTCTCGTTTCTTTGGATTTATTTGCTTTGTGTTTCTTTCTTCTTCGAGTTTAAACCTATCGTCCTGTATTACCTGTGAGCACTGCCTGTAAGTAGGTGTTCACGATCTTTTGAACTGCCTAGTCAACCTGGTTTGCCTAGTTAGTGATTAATGGTTTTAAAAACAGCAAACAGGGTAAGATTCAAACTCTTAAATCTGTATTTTTGAGAAACAGGGACATTCAAACAAGTAAGGACAAAATATTCTCCAAGTATTATTTAGCAGAGCTAGAGGCTGCAGGCACCGTAGTTTCTGATGTAATGTGCGTGCAAATCTGGGATAGTAGAGCTACATGCAGACAGGATGGATTTACACTCGGAACAGAACTGTTCAGGTGTTAGAGACAAATCCATACTCCGCTGGGATGGAATCTCAGGATTAAAGTGTTGTTCATGTCCTGGTGAAGGCAGTTCCCCTTTCTGTAAGATATCTGGGATCATCATACCCCCGCAAACGAAGTTTAGGGGGGTATATTGGAATAACCTTGTCCGTCTGTCCGTCCGTCCGTCTGTCCATCTGTCTGTAGACAAGATTTTGTCCGGACCGTTTCTCAGAAACTGTTGGATGGATTTGTCTGAAAATTTATACACTTATTATTCACCATATGAAGGTGTGCACCTGGGATTTTCATCATAATTGTATGATTTTTTTGCATTTTACAGGCGTTTTTTGTTTTTTTTTTTTTGATTTTGTTTGATAACCTTTAATTTAAGTTGAATTTTTAGACGGTGTGTCAAAAAGGTCACTGTGACCTTTAATTTAAGTCTTTAAAATTTTAAATTTCATAATCCTAAAAAATGTAAAAATATAGTTGTATCCTTATTAAAAAATGCTAAATTAAGAAAAAACTTATTTTTTATCATATACTTTACAGCAAATTCTATAACAAATGTTAATGATTTGAGAGGAATTCAGTTTGTCCCATGGGCATAATTATCAAGCACTGGTCAAGGAGAATTTTTGATAGCAGAAATGTGCATGTCAAATTAGAGAGAAATTAATGAGTTCATTGTCGGGAGTTAACTGGCAAGAGATCTCTAGATCTTATCTTAATTTTACTCTTGGGAGTTGGGCAAAAAGAAATGGCCTTATAGTTGCTTGTGTTAATTAAGAGTTCTTGATGGCTGTAGTTCAGATAAAGATCTTTCAATTGGTTCCCGTGCAACATGTAATTAAAACAAATTGATGTTTTAGTGTTTGATTAAAACTGAATTAGTATTATATAATATAATTAAAATTAATTATACATGTGTTCATTAAAAAAAAAATTACATTTCAATTTTTATATATTTGCAACAAATTGCAGTCATGTCTCACTTAGAATTTAATTTCAAAGAATAATTAATTTTTCATTTTTTTTTATTATATGTAGCATTTCCATTATTTCATAAAATATCAATAATTTAAAGCTGCAGATGGATATTTGTTAAAAGGGATAGACACTAACTTTTAAACCATAGTTGTCAGCAGGGCTAGGTATTTCTAATTTTTACTAGCCCTGTTCATATATATAAAGAATTGTCCAGCAGCCGAAGGCTGGTGGCTGAGTCGTGCGACGAGGGGGGTAGGTGCGGGAGGGGGTTTCCCCCTCCTGCTGGTGGGGTACGGGGGGCCTCCCCAGGAAATTTTGAAAATAAAGATTGCCAAATCCACATTCTGGCTGTATTTTGGTGCAAAAATTATATGTCACCCTATGATTGTACCTTAAACATTTTTCTATTATACACATATATAATCATTTAGGATATTTAATCACCTTTAAATTTTACAATTTTGACATACAAAAATAATAATTATGATGATAAAACATATTTGAAAATAGTTTTAATAATTATTAGATACATTATGTGTAATTGATAATTATATTTTTGCTCTGAGTGAGTTTTTTCTTAGTAGCCCTGCAGGACAAGTGTAAAGGCATGTTTCATAAAATATCAATATTCAATTGTAAAGGCCAGCGGGCTACCGTTAGTGTCGAACCCTGCTCTAACACAGCCAGTTTAGAATTATATGATGTATTATTTGTTTTAATTAATCCCTACACTGTAAGTCTCTTAGAGATGTATGTACAATATTTTAAACATGATATGAAATGGAAATTAGATCATTGAAATCTGTGTCAATCTGTTAATCAAGGTTACTTAATTTTCTTGCACCCTAACCAATTTATGATTATCGAACAATATTTGATGGGCCTATCATGCTGTGGCGAGGCACTTTATTTAGACAATAGTGAAAACCTCTTACTAGATCCATAAAATATTCTGAATTGGCACCAGTACTCTGAAAAACCCAGCGGGGGTATTTGTCCCTATTGGACAGTTCTAGTTAACATGCATTAGAGCCTTGGTGCCAAGTTTACCAGCGACATCAAATTTGAGAAAATTACAAATCCTTAAACTCACAGAATGACTGAAATTTTAAACGGATATCATTTTGCATATATGTCACCACTAGATAATAGAAAGTTTCTACCACGCTCTACTACATGCGCAGGATTACGCTGTACCATTTCTCACAAAGGTCATCCTGTCCGTGAAAAAAGGAAAAAAATGCACCAATTGCTGGGCGGATGATCACTTCAGGAGCAATTGCAAATTAGAGCAGTGTTGAAGGATTTGTGAACAGCCTGGTCAATTTCTGGGATCTGACCAGTGTTAAGCCTATGTTACAAATCGAAAGAATATCGTGTGCTTTCTGGTGAGGAAAACTATTTGTCCAACTTCTTTCCTACCGAAATCAATGTTTTTCAGCAATCGTACCGATCAGTGGAACATGCCTATCAGCGCATTAAGTCTTTACGATCGGGAGACCTTAGCCGTGCAGATGTCGGGTGTAAAGTACTAAGTGCCTTAAAAGCGAAGCGCATAGGAGACCAAGTTTTTTAATCAGATGCACGGCTTTCATCTAATGTTTCAGTTGTGAACGGAATTCTGAAGGCAAAACTTTAACAGTGCTTTCAATTTAGGGATTCTTTAAAAAAGGCTCGAAAACAGACATCCTTGCACTCATGGTTGAATCTACATGGGACGAGCAATGGGGTAGTGGACTGAACTGGAACATCGCATACAGTCATGCAGCATTGGCAGGGCCAAATTAGACTCGGACAACTGCTCAACGCTATGGCTGCCAAATTAAAACGCTCAAGCTGTAGATCATGATCAGGATCCAGTAGCAGCAACAGACTGGGGAGGAACAACAAAGGAAATGGTCATAGCTAGAAATACAGTGAGATGGTAAAAAATAGACAATAATGAATACGTTAAACATAAGTCCAGTTGAATCCCTAAGAAAGTTCATTAAAACAGATCCAGCAGCCATGTCACTCTTTAACCCCCATCCCCGCAATCACGCATTTTAACGCATATACCGTTGCCCCGCAATCACGCATTTTAACGCATATACCTTTGCCCCGCAATCACGCATTTTAACGCACTTACAGTTTTTTGTTCTACAATGAGGCACAGTCATGTATATTTGTATATATGAACATAGAAATTTTACCGGGAAATCAGATAATTAAACTTAATGACGTCATAATAAGAATATACGTAATTATTTGTGTCAGAGTTCGGGTTTACAACTGCTAAAATGGAAACTTGCCACAATCGAAAATACTCATGGTAAATTTGTAAGGGTATTCGGATTTTTCCTCTGATTTGTTTGATGATGACAGTGACTGTCACAGTAGTTTAAGTGATTTAAGCTCTGAAAATCTTTCGTTATCGAGCCTCTCTGATTCGGACCTAGATCTAACCGATACGGAATCTAATGATGAACAAGGAATGACACCAAAATGGACTTCCATCTTACAAGATATTGATGTACCGCCCTTTGTTTGTACTACGGGGCCAACGGAGAAAGTGCAATGTAGTGAAACAGAAAAAGATTTTTTCGAAAATATTTTTGATTCAGATTGTATTTCTACATTAGTAACAAGCACTAACAAATATGCCCTAGAGGAACAACAAAGAAAAGGTTTGCTATTAATTACAGCTATATATGATATAAGTATATATAATGTCATGTAAATATGATTGTAATATTTATCAAGGAAAATTGACATGATAGTAAAAGAATAGAGCTAAGGCAGACATAATATTAAATTCCGTAAAATTTTATAACACTTCATACGAATCAAGTGTTTTATAAAAAGTTATTGAGAATTAAACACGCATGCTGATATTGAACAACCTTTTTTCATTTAAAAATCTGCAACTTGTGCATAAGTTTATTTATTCAAAATATATAACTTTGGGCAATATAGCTTATCAGTTTAGAAAATGACAAATATGACTTACAACATATACCGTAATATAATGAAGGTAAAAATAAATAAATAGATAAAGACCTATTATAATTATATTGTATACCTATACAGTGTGTGTATATAATGCATTGTATTTTATATTATTATTTTAAACAAATAAATCGTAGAAGCTAGATACTAATTATGGTTTAAAACATAGAATTAGTTAATTAAACGGAACTATACTTACTTAAAGTCAACACGTAAACATATAAACATGTTTTTCTTTAATTTTATATATACTACTATATCCTTGAAAAATGCCCGTGTGCTAAAAACTTTTTATTTATCAAAAATGTATGAAAGGCATGCAGTTCTTTTTATTTATTTAATGCATACGATTAAAAAAATTGTAAAACATCTCTACTACATCTCATTTTGACTGAAAATGAAATGAATACATAATATAAACAATTTTAAAAATAATACTGAATCGAAGTTAATATCAACTCACATTGTAGTGCCACTTTTTTGGAGGGGGGGGTCCTCCAATTTGCACTGTATCAATATTAATTTTATTTACACTAGTACTGAAGCTTATCACACATTTGCCAGGTAGTCAGTAATAAATATATTAGGTGAAAGGTTAAAATTCTTAAAACTACTGGTGAAATAAGGGGGGGGGGGTGAACTAATACTATTTCCTGCAAAACACTATGAAATAGTTGCGCGTTATTTCGACAATATTTTTATGTATTGAAATGGTGCCACCCTGTATAAAATTAATGCAGGCAAATATTGCACTTCAATAAATTTATTAATTCTATTTCAAGTTGAACATATACATGTAAATTCACATCCCTAGATTAAATCATTAAAAGGTTCATTCTATTTTTTCAATGTAGGTCGTGATTCTTTGTGGTATGAATGTACATATAATGAGATGCAGGCATATATTGGGATTCTGATCATGATGGGTATAAACAAGATTCCCGATTACAAGTTGTACTGGAGTCATAATAAATTTTTAAGGAATGCTGGCTTCCAGGAAGTAATGCCCTTAAAACGTTACGAAAAAATAACTCAGTATTTGCACTGCAGCGCAGAGAACACGGAGGATACGCTTTATAAAATTCGCCCTATTCTGGATATTGTTTCAAAAAACATGTCTGAATCCTACAACCCCCGGAAACAGCAAACCATAGATGAAGGCATGATAGCATATAAAGGAAGACATAAGGTAGTAAAGCATAACTTCTTCATTTATTGATGTACCTGAAACTATTTTTGTTACAAAATGGTTTAACCCCCCTTCCTTTCCCTGATTTAAGAATATGAGTTTTATGAAATGAGTGCTTCCCCTTTCTCATGTTGATTTTTTTGAACGATGCGTTTTTTCTTTGTCTCCAATTTATAATGTGCATAGAATATCTTGCTATCTTCATTTATAGGCCAAACAGTATATACCCTCTAAACCCACTAAATGGGGATTAAAAGTTTGGCTCCGGTGTGACAGTTTGTCTGGATTTTGCCATCAGCTTGACCTGTATCTCGGAAGGGACCAATACAAGGGTGTTCCTGTTGGCCAGACAGTAGTCTTTAAACTTACGGAGGAATTACAGGGCAAAAACCATCACGTTTTCTTTGACAGCTTTTTTACTTCCGTCGAACTAGCAAAGGGTCTACTCGCCAGAAAGATCTTCTGTTGTGGAACTATTGTGAGGAATAGAAAGGGATTCCCTAGCGACCTGAAGTCAGTGACGCCAAAGTTCCAAGGAGATTACGTAACACGGTATATATCTGAAACTATACTGAAATGCAGTTTTGGGCCTGATTTATAAATACTGCCTTTTTAAACGTAACGATTGTGAAATATGTGACTAATAAGTAAATTCTTTCTTGTTACAGACAAGATGGCCAATTAACAGCTACTGTGTGGATGGATAACCGACCCGTGTCAGTTTTGTCAACAATGACATCGCCGCTTGAGATGGCTACTAATGTATCCAGGCGACTGAAAGATGGTACAGCTGTATCCGTCCCCAGACCACAAAGTATCGGGCATTATCAATCATATTTTAGGGGAGTTGATTTATTTGATCAATTGCGTTCGAAATATCCAGTCGGCAGGGCAAGCAAAAAGTGGTGGAAATATGTACTTCACTTTCTTATCAACACTGCTATCATTAATGCCTATATTCTTATGAAAGAAAGTCGACCCCAGCTTCCTAAGAAGAAATACCGACAGCTGGACTTTAGAATCTCGCTAGCTCAGCATTTGATTGGATCTTTCAGGACACCACTAAGGGCAGCAGGGAGACGCACCTTAAACACGCCGACATGTCACAGTTTCTCAAAACTAGTGAAGAAAAGATCCTATTGCAAACAATGCTCAAAGTCGACACCAAGAAAAAGGAAGGATACTGCATATGGTTGCAGTCTTTGCGATACCCATTTGTGCGGAAAACAATGTTTCTCATTGTTTCATGGGTTCTTATCAATAGAGGAATAACTCAAAGTGTTCAAATGAATACAGTTATTGGGTTGGGGTGATATGTGCTGTATAGAACCCTAGTTATCGGATTGTGTGGCAATATTCAAAATTATAATGACACAGTTTTTTTAATGAAATGTGACTGATATCATGCGAATTGTGAAAATATTTCAGTTATATAGTGTGTTCACAATCCTTTATATTCTGTACCTTAGATTCAATGTATTGATAAATAATTTTAATGGTCTAAAAATGTTTTCAACTTGTGTCAATTTTAAACAAGTTTCCCACATATTAATTTGAAAAACAATTATACATTTATTGTAATTCTTCGAATAAAATTACAGTAGGAATTGCAACGATTAAAATTAATCGTCAAATATGGAAACGTTTGTTTTTTCTGCGTATACGGCCAAAAAAAAATCCTTCTGCTGTAAATATAAACGTAAAAACGAAAAACTAGATTAGATGCATTTTAAGTACAAAGATTTACCGCGCAGATTGCCAAGGAAGTTTTATACATCGAACGTACGGATAATTTCATGAAAAAGGAATTAGTTACGATGATTTTTTATAAATTAAAAAAAAATTAAATTGTAAAACATCTGATTGGATAAAACAAATAGGATATACTGAGAGATGATTGATTGCAGTATGTTTATACATACATGTACTGTGGAAAATAGAATATCGGTATTCACAGTTAATAAAGCATACACTATACTAAAAGAAATTCCGCCAATATTATGTTCAAAAACTAAAATAAAAAAAAAAACGATAACGCTATAGTTCTGCGGCTACATATAGTGTATATGTACATGTGACCGAAGAATTTAAAAAAAAAGGGGGGGGGGTATAATAATAGGTTTGTTTCTGTCTTCAATAACAGAACGGAAATGGAACCCAACAACTATTTTGAACATTGTTTTATATTTGATGAACTTATTAATTATTTTTGATTTACAAAGCTATGATACACTGTGCTTATTTAAAATGTATAATATCCCACAAAAAAATAAATAAATAGGATAAAATGACTATTTAAATATTTTAAAATTCAACTTACAGATGGATGTGCAAATTACGTAAATGATATACAATAATACGCTTTCTAATTTATAATAAAAAGCGCTACATAAATACCATAAAACTCTACATGTGGAAATACGTTTTTTTCAGTACGTAATCGCAAGTGCTCTGCGAGGACAGGGATAACGTCATCGAATGTTAACAAATGTAATGCTATTATTACGTCACAGTCAGCGCAAGGGGCAAAGAGTTAATGATTGTGCACGAGATGCTTTACGTGGAGAATAACTTCAATCCTTTTCAGTATGGTATACAGTCACCCCAGTTAAGCCCAAAAAATTCACAACATTCATGCTAGATATTTACAAGAACACTGGGACCACAAGATTCACGGCAAATTCTCTCTGTTTATCTTCGATCACAGCAATGAGAAATGCTGGTCTAACCGACAGGCATATAATGTTTATGTCAGATCACAAGAGGGAGAAATCACTGAAGTCATACTGCCGTCGCCAGAGTACAGAACAAAAACGTGTCATCAGCTATGTTCTTATATGTAGTAATTAATGTAGCAAGCGGAGAAAAAAACAAACATGCTTACATCCAAGCCTGATTTCGTCCACTCAAACACAGTCAGTCAGCAATCAAAGTCTCCAATTAAGCAGGGAATCCATTAATTTGTCGGGATTTGGAGCACGCTATGTCTTCAAAGACTGTCACTTTCACTTTAACTCTCCTAACGCTGTAAACAGTGTCATACGTCATATGAAACATTTTTTAAATGCAAAAAAAAAACAACATATCTTAGTTAATTACTTGTTTATTTCATATACTGTAAATTCAAAGTTAGATATTTTATGTTTAATGTTTGGTTATTAAATTTCTGTTAACGTTTCAGCTCTAGGAATTAATTTTTCACATGATGTATTCCTACGCGTTCGGCAAATTCAAATTAAGAATAACAGTAGATGATCCTTAAACCCTTTCAATCAATACAAATTGGAGAACAGGACATAAACCAAAATGGAATGATAGATTTAGGACAGGTGCCTTTGAAATACCCTGACAACTCGGCATGAATTCTCTGTATTGTTCAGGTCAGTGGAGTAATTCGATATGTAAGAAATGGCCTTACAGTTGTACGAAACATATTAGTTATTATATATAATATATAAGATTGTATTTGCAAACAAGGCAATTTCACTGATCATTTAATTTCGAAATGCTGACTTAAAACAAGGTAGTTGAGATCCCTTTATCCTCAATCAATTTGTTGGGCCATCCTTAAAAAAAAAATTTTTTGCGGTAACGCGCCTCATCAGTTTAGGTGTGGGTAGGTAGGTAGGCTTATTATTTTTTTTTTGGAGACAAAAAGTCAGAATTAAATTTCGATTAGATAGAGGTATTAAACAGGTCTGGACGATTCTAAAAATGGAAGTCAAGAGCGATAACCGTGAATACCAGGCTTGGGGTCAATTACTTTGAAATGTAATTAATTACTTTCAAATACATTGATAATTTTGTCAATTACTTGCAATTACAATTACATTGATTTTTTCAAATGTAATTAATTACTTTCAATTACTTTGACAAATGTAATTAAATACATTTCAATTACTTGAGTTTTATTTTTATAAAAAAAATAATAAAGATTTTCCTTAAAACGATTTTTCTATAGCGATTGAATTTGAACTTTCATTCAGACTGAATGATTCAGTGTTTTGGGGTATGATATGGGGTTCACACCTTGTCAAAATTAGACCATTACCTTATAATGAATGTGACAAATTGTATAAACAAATTAAACATTATGAGACAATAAATTATTGTACAAACACAAGCCCATGCTACAACAGTATGGTTTATGGTAAGATTTTTTTGTTACTTTTTCAAATTCATATTTTTGAAGGAAATAAATAATTAATTTATCAAAAATCCATTCATTTTATTCTATTTTGAAGCGAATAGAATACAGGTTAATCTAAAAGGGGATGTGGTTAGTCTAATTGCTGTCAAACAAATTTACTATCTAAACAATCATTGTAATTTGCAAATGGGAATAGGGAGAACTGAGATTTATAAAACATGGGAATAAGTACTATAAACGGTTTAACCCACCAATATAGAACTGTGTATAAGACATTTTTTAAAAATAAAAACTTTCATTTTGAAAAAAAAGTAATTGAAATGTAATTGAAAAGTAATTCAAAATACATGTACGTGCAATTTTTAAAATGTATTTGAGTACATTCAATTACTTGTAATTGAAAGCAGGCCCAAATACAAATTACTTCCAATTACTTTGAAAAGTGTAATTAATTACACTCTACTACAATTACGTTTTTCAATTACCCCATCCCTGCACTGAATACCTATAAATACAAATAATAAACAAGGCGCTAGTCCTTCTGACCAATCAGATAACAGCATTTAGACAAACCCATCAGAAAATAAATATAACACGTGGTTATTAAGTTTTTTGCTAAAAAGATTTTTTTAGAACAAACTTTTTGTAAACTTAAAGCGCATTTGGAAATAAAATAATATTTATGACAATTCTACCGTGAACAAACACGACTTGAAAGCTTTGAATACGTTTTAAATGGGATAAAAAAATCTGTCACTAGGAGGTAGCAATCCAAAAAGTTTAACGTACGTTAAAAAATTGATATAAATTCGGAAAATTTTCAGTTTTTATAGCCTGACATAAAAAATCTTATCGAAAAGATATCAGTCATTATTATTTTTTTAGCGTTTTTTTTAAACAAAATGGTCCATGCTTTTTCTGATATGCGAGGTAAGATATTGGGATAAAACGCATGAAAACATTGCTGTGACGTCATGCCTTTGTTCTTGCAGTCTAAAAATTTACCTGTAGCCGTCCGATAATAATAATTACCAGTCTGATAATATATTATCGGACGGCAATGATAACAAAATCGGACGGTGTTTAAAAAACAAAAAGAAGAGTAAAATAGAGGTTTAATATGTCCAGAAACCCCCAATAAAAATGTTAGGAAAAAATTCAGGGAAAGCAAACGCAAGGAATTTAAGTTGCTACAAAATAGCAAATCCATGAAAAAAAATCCGAGTTTAAACATTCCATAACATTAATAATTTCCACTCTTTAAAAGAATTTTTGATACAGCACTTTGAATAAACGAATTTAAATCCATTTCTGAAAAAGAGTCTGCAACTCTGCTTATTTTATGTTTGTTCCCCGATGGCCACACTTTTAAAACCTGAGAATATTTCCATTATCTAAACTGAAACTTCAGGGTAAAAATCCGCATTTTTACTTTCCAGGGTGATGGTTATAATATCTACCAAAATTATGTCAGTATCAATGTCAATTTATGCACATCATAAATAAAAATGCCCCCCCCCCCCCAAAAAAAAAAAATCCTTCACCACCGGACCCCTGTCCTGCTAAACTGAACCTGAACGACTGCCATTGAATGGATCAAATGAAACAACAGTTCACTCACTTTTTTACTGTGTCGTCTCTTTTATCTACTTATCAGACGGGTAGAAAACAATGGATGCCTAAACTCCTATTGTGTTATTATCGGACTCCTTCAGGTAACTTTTGGACATTTAAATGGCAATGTTTTAAGTAAGATATATGCCTCATACTATTCTATATGTAAAATTATCAGACAGTTTTCAGCCCTGACGGGCCTCAAACAGTCTGATAATTTAACATATAGAACAGTATTCGGCATATATCCATTACTTAATGTATATTTACATTTTCTTCACATTATAAGCCTTTCCTTATACCCATTTAAATTCTGCATAGCGTTGTATTCGGCGCTCATGAAACCCGTGATAATTTAAAACTGTATGCGTATAGTCGATACGATAAACACTTGTGTGAGTTGATTTATACACATGGAATTTAAGCATTATCGATGAAAATCGGATGGATAAGCAAAATTATATTTACCAACATATAATATATTCTGGTAAATGTTATAATTGAACTTGATAGGAACTAGCTTGTGCGATCTTTACCTGCGTACTAAACGATTACATTCTATCATACATTATTTTTTCTTTCCGAAATAAAAATGTCAAGGTTGTTCACGGTAAAAATGTGGGGAATACTTTATTCTTCAAAAATTTTCATTTTGCTTCTACAGATTTTTTGTTGAAAAAATCTTTTTGAGGAAAAAAACAAAAGCATGTATTACCTTTTTGTTCTTCTAAAATATGTTTTGGGGTGTGTAAAAATGATGGTGTCTGATTGGTCAA